TAGGGTTATGCTGAGAACATTATGGGGAAGTAGAAGAGATTCCCTCATTTAGCCTAGGGAGGCAGAACGGGCCTAAGGGCAGTGATGCCTGAGCTGTGAATGAAGAACAAGTAGGAGTGAAAGGTGGGGAAAGGGCAGAGGAGACTGCATACATAAAGGTTGCAAATAATAGATAGCAGGAGGTCTGGGTACTAAGCCATATGGGGTTTCTGAAACTTGTACGTACTGCAAGCAGTTTGTGACTTTAGTTGTTGATTATCTTGAGGAGCCCACAGTAGTTATGTGTCAGTGGCGGGTGTGCGTTCTGAAAAATGCGTGATTGGGCTATTCTGTGGTTGTGCAAGCATCATAGAGTACGTGAACGTAGATGGTACAGCCTAGAGAGTACAGCCCATTGCTCCTAGGCCACAAACTTGCACAGCATGTGACTGTACTGAGTACTGTAGGCAGTTTTAATGCAGTGATAGTTATGTATCTAAACATATGTAAACACAGAAAAAGTACAGTGACTAGATGATATAAAAAATAAAAAAGTGGTATAGTGTATAGGGCCCTTTGCATGAATGGAGTATGTAGGACTGGAGGTTGCTCTAGGTAAGTTAGTGAGTGAGTGAGTGGTAAGTGAATGTGAAGGCCTAGGTGACTGACTTTATAAACACTGTATACTCAAGCTATAGAAATTTATAAAAAATATTAATAATAAATTAGTCTTAGCTTACTGTAAACTTTATGTTTTATAAATATTTTAATTTTTACACTTTTGGACTCTTGTAATAATGCTTAGCTGAAACCACACACATTGTACAGCTGTACATGGTTTTTTTTTATATCCTTATATAAGCTTTTTTTTCTAATTAAAATTTTTTTTTAACTCTTTAAACTTTTTTTGTTAAAAACTAAGATCAAATACACATACTTTTACAGGGTCAGGATCATTAGTATCACTGTCTTCCACCTCCACATCTGTCCCATTGGAAGGTCTTTGGGGGCCATGACACTCGTGGAGCTGTTGTCTTCTGTGGTGACATGCCTTCTGGAATACCTCCCAAAGGATCTGCCTTAGGCTGCTTTAGCTTTTTTTCAAATAAGTAGAGGAAATATAGCATAGTACAGTAAATAACATAAACCAGTGATATAGTCATTTATTATCATTATCAAGTATTATGTACTGTACATAATTGTATGTGCTACACTTTTATATGACTGGCAGTGTAGTAGATTTGTTTATACCAGCATTACCACAACATGTGAATAATGCGTTGTGCCATGATGTTATGATGGCTACGATGTGGTAGGATGTTTTTTTTGGCTCCATTATAATATTTTGGGACTACCGTTGTACATGTGGTCTGTTGTTGACCGAAATGCTGTTATGCGATGTATATGGAATGCATCTCTTACATTAGGACTTTCCCATTTTGATAACATTTTCATTCTTTAATTTTTATTCTTGGTCGTGCTACCATAAAAATAGATTGTGTCTATTGCTGATATAAACATTTTGATGTATCCCAGGGATATCTTGCCACTTTATATACAAGATTCGCAGAGCACAAAGATAGATATTCTTTTTTTTTCCTGGATTCAGTAGCGGAGAGTAGTTGTTAGAATTCTGGTATAATTGCTTATCCACTTTCTTGATTCTGACATATTTTTTAGAGGAGAATGACTCCTTTAGTAAGATCAACGTAATGGTTGAGAGTGTTAAGCAATTTAATCTACTCTCTTGAGTTCTGATGTGATCCTTTCTTGTGTTTTAGTTTGTGTCTCTTGCTGGCATTTAGATCAGTTTGCAAACTTTATTTTGGTTTAATATTTGAGAGCTTTCAGTGTGTTTTGCTGTACAGGAAATAAATCTCTGCCATAAATTGAAAGAACAGTGGACTAGCAATCAGGAGAAATGAATTATCTTAGAGTACTTCCTCTGTCTCAGACTCTGAGATTCAGACTTGTTAAATTAGTTTCCTAGTGTCCTCTAATAAAATAATAGAAATTAGAATTCAGTTGACTCCTGAATAACATGGGGGTCAGAGGCACTGACCCCTTGTGTAGTTGAAAATCTGTGTGTAACTTTTGACTTCCCCAAAATTTAGCTATTAGTGCTGTTGACCAGAAGCCTTGTCAATAACATAAACAATTAGCACATTTTGTATATGGTATGCTGACATGTATTTTATGTATATATTGTATTCTTACAGTAAAGCAAGCTAGAGAAAATAACATGTTTTTAAGAAAATTATAGGAAGAGAAAATATATTTACTATTAAGTGAAAGTAGATCACCATAAAGATCTTCATTTTCATTATCTAAACGTAGGCTGAGGAGGAAGAGGAGTTGGTCTTCCTGTCTCAGGAATGGTAGAGACAGAAGAAAATCCATGTATAAGTGGCCCTGTATAATTCGAACCTGTGTTGTTTTCAACTGTTTTTGTTTCCATAGAGATACATTACAGATTTATAAGCTTAGTTAACTTATAGTGATAGGTTCTAAACTTCATTAGAATATATTGCATGTAAAATAAGTGCTTTATATCAATATGTGTCTGTTCTCTTTCTTAAATATTCTTTATTTAAAATTTGTACTAGGATGAGTGATTGTACATGTTTAATTAGCTGTTTTACTCATTCATGAGCTTTATTTTTGGACAAGAACTCTATCTTACACTTTTTCTGTGCTTTGTATAGTACTAAAACTATTAAAGATTTCTGTGGATTATTTATTATCTGAAAATACTTCTTTTTGCTTCAGGTCAAACATAGAGTACACCTAGAGGATATAATTAACATTTTAATTAGGATTGTATTTGATAATTTAGTCACTTTTGATTTAAGAATTATTTGTGTTGTCTGGTGTGGACCTAATTGCTACAGAATTAGAGTAATTCACTGTTATTTTTTAAGGAAGAGATATAACTTTCCAGATACTTAAATTGTATCGGCTGTACAGTAACCATTTACTTTCAAAATAATTTCTCAGTATTTGTTTATGTCAAATTTTCATCAGACATCTACTGAGCACTTATTATTTCCAGTACTTTACTTTGCCTAGGGTAAAAAGTGACAGTCCCAAGTCCTAGAAAGTTTATTGAAGATAATTATTGAAGATAAATACAAAGAAATAAATTTCAGATCAGACTGGTAAGTGCTGTCCCAAGAATAAACATACAGTGCTGGGCAGCTCAGATGAGAGCATCAAATAGCTTAAGGAAGCTGGAAGCGTGACTTGGATAACTTAAGTAAGAATTATTATAAGCTCTTTTGCATCTTGCATTAATAAAGTTTACTTAGCATATGTGTTTTTATGTTTCAGAAAAAACCCAGTTCTTAATTTAACATTTATAATAGGGTACAATGCTGGTATTTTCTCCTGGAACATCTTGATAAACGGTGAATTGAGTTCTCTGTGATACATTGTTGTGTAATGATGGCCATTTTCATGTATCCACAGTTCTCTTTTCTTCTAAAAATATCTCTAGACTACATCATTCTGTTATTTTAGGAATCAGGATAAACTGGATCAAAGTGTTCTCTTGTTCTGAGAAACTAATGGTAGTTTATTTGTTGGAAGTTCTGTCTCAGAAGAGCTTCTGATGTTTATCTAAAATATATGAAGGGTTGCTGTGATCTGTCATGACATAAAAGTCATGTCCCTGTCACATATTGAAGAATTTTCATTATTGTTATTTACAATATTCTGCCATTGAGATGCAGCTTGGTATAATCATAGTACAATCGCTGGAGTAAATTTCAGGCAGCTCCTTTTCCAGCCTTTCTGCATCAAGCTGAGTGGTAGAGTGATAAGTAGACTAGTGGGTGTTGGTATAAAATTTGAAATGTGAGATCATTTTGCAGGGTGTCAAGAACAGATTTCCCAAATAGAAATTCTAGTAATATCTTACAACTGAGATCTTTCCATTAAATGCAGTGTATCTGTTTTTAGTTGATTGTTGTAAATGTCTGTGAAATGTGTAAAAATGCTTATTTTATCTTCTGTATGAACATACTGGCTTAAGAGTAGCCTGGCTTGTAGCCCGCTTTTTTTTTTTTTCTTCTTCTTTCAAGGGAGTTGGCAGGAATTTTTATAAAGTAAAGCTAACCTGATTGTAGTTGAAAGAGGGAATATTGGTGTATATTTCAGTGGAGAAAATTGCTGTGTGGACTTCTAGGCTACCAGTCAGAGAATTGTTTCAGTTCCATGCTGTAGTAAAATGGGTGCAAGCAGAACTGAAGTAAACATATTCGTTTTTACGTTTCGTTCTTCACCAAAACAGTAATTGCCTTGCTAGATTTAGTCATGCGTGCTAAGGTGTATAAGAAACTGTTAGCTAGAACCAACATATATTATTCCTGACATGAATAAGTTGATGATGAGTGTTCAAAAAAGGAGGAACAGTCATACCTAGAAATCAGCTTTCCTGTTGAATTTAACTTCTGATATTTCCCCTTGGAGTAAATTCACTCGGTAAATGTTTTTACCATAATAAAATGTAAAAAATACTACATGAGTTGTAATGAAGATTAGAAGAATTCACATAAAAAGTGCTTGGCAGAATCTAACATATACAAACTACTCATTAAATGTCAGTATTTATTATTTAATGTTTAGGATATTTACAAGTCATTTAGTCACTTTGTGTTGTGATAGTCTTTGTATGTTTTGGTGAGATTTTTAAAATGAATGTGTTCATATTCCTATAGATTTCTTCTGTGTTGCCCCTCCCCTCAACTTGATATAGCCATTTAATGTATTCTATTAGTTTTGAACAGTGTCTTTATTTTGTCATGGCTTAGATACCATAGCTATCTTGCTATCTTGGGAATAAACACAAATTCATTTCCTGACATTTTGCAGATTATGTTCATCGTTTTTTAAAAAACTGTAAAATAGAATAAGGTGGATCCTGATTTTCTGGATGCAGATTTCTGAGAGCCCTTGTAGCTATTTTTGACTCCCGCAATCTGCTCTGCTTTTGCTGCTTGAGGAGTAATGCTGATGTGGGGTTTTCTTTTTGTCTTGGTTCTAGCACATGCAGATGACGATCCAGGCTCTCCAGGATGAATTGCGAATCCAGAGGGACCTGAATCAGCTGTTTCAGCAAGATAGTAGCAGTAGGACTGGCGAGCCTTGTGTGGCAGAGCTGACGGAGGAGAACTTTCAGAGACTCCATGCTGAGCATGAGCGGCAGGCCAAAGAGCTGTTCCTTCTTCGGAAAACCCTGGAGGAAATGGAACTGCGCATTGAGACGCAGAAGCAGACCTTGAACGCCCGGGATGAATCTATCAAGAAGCTTTTAGAGATGCTGCAGAGCAAGGGACTTTCTGCCAAGGCTACGGAAGAAGACCACGAGAGAACAAGACGGTTGGCAGAGGCAGAGATGCATGTCCACCACCTAGAAAGCCTTTTGGAGCAGAAGGAAAAGGAGAACAATATGCTAAGAGAGGTGAGTGACCACATTTTTTAGTTGTTTTGAGTTATCAATTATCTTCCCCCCCCCCCAAATTAATCAGCATCTTGGCCCAGATAAATTTATGTGCTCTGCAGTGTGCTAGTAGAAGAGAATTCATCTTTTAAGTACGCCACTGATTTCTATTCTGACTTGGTATCTTGTATGGGATGACATAGTTTGGTATGTATGCTGGCTTGTTAACTTTCTGGGTCTTTTCTTCCCTCAATCCCCTAATCTCTAAAAGCTCGTTTGTTAATAGAGGGGTTCAAAATTGTCTGTTTTTTTCTTTTAACTCATCTCTAGATTTGTTCATAGAGACAACACAACAAAACCAGAATCAGAGTAGCTAGCTATTGCACAATTTTAAAATATTAATAAGATAAAGTAAGTGGTTATCTCATGGGTGTTTGTAAAGTCCTTGGCAGCAGTAATGGATGTTTGCCCTGTGGTTTCCATGGGAACTGTTGCCTTGCTATAAAATATATGTGATAAAAATCATTTGCTTTCCTGGAGGCATGGCTAGAAAGATAGTATAAAAACACTGTTTTTTAGAAAGGAAACTTAGGCTTTAGCTGACTCAATGGCTTTTGATAATATTCCCCTTTTCTGGATAATGCTTCATTTTAAGAAGGCATAAAGGAAGAATTCATCTTACATTGAATTAAAAGAAGTTAACAACTATACTATATAGTCAGTCCATATATATAGATTTTCTTTTTCTTTTTTTTTCATAATCAATATTTTTTATTATGGTTTTGTGTGGATTTTCTATATATATGGTCAGATGTTAGATAATTTTCACATTTGGGTAGGGGAAAAAAATCCCCAACTATGTTAGGGGGAACAAAATTCCCAATTGAATAATTACTTTTAAATGAAATGTGAGGAAAGAGGTTAAAAAATTGGCATATTCCAAAAGCAACAAAAATAGTAATTGAAAAACTTATAAATTTGTAGTTTATTTTATAATTTCTCTTTTTAAAAAAATCTGAAATATTTAGTTACAGTGAGGCAATTTTCACTTTTGAAGAGAAATCATTGTTTTCTAAAAACATGATTTTATTACACAGGAAAACTATTGTAGTTCATTATAGTAAACTTAGAAAATGGATTAGCAAAGGCATAATATTACCTGTGATTACTATTAACTTTGATTATTTCTATGCTTCTAGTCATTTTTATTATTTATATATTCTTTCATTATTTTTGGGTTTACAAAATACAAAATTAGAATACTGTAGGTCATCGCTGTTCAGGATAACTAGTTTTCTGGGTGGAATGCTAATTATATTGGGAAAAGGGATTTTGGTAAACAGGGTGACTTTTAGGAAGTACCCTTTAAGTGGACATCTGAAGAAAGAGAAAGAGAAGAACCTAGCTTTAGGCTTCCCAAACAAACAAACCCAGCTTTGCTGAGCATTTGGGTAAAATCATTTTGTGAAGTGTTAACAGTTTCAAAGGCCCAATTTTTGAGGGAGTAGGAGGGTGACAAGAGGGCAAGAATATACTGCATTTAAGGAGAAGACTTGATGAGATGAGCAGTTGGAAAGGTAGTGGGAGTCAGGGTCGTTCATTCCACTCATCACATGTTTGTTGGGCACCAACTGCATGCAAAGCATCAAGGTTAGAACAGTGAACAAAACAAAATCCATGTGCTCGAGGAGACAGAATACTTGCCTTTGTAGTCCTTGCAGATAATGCAACAGTTTAATTCACAGTGCTAGAGAAAACCATTCCACTGTTTAATGAACATGATCTGATTTAACTTTTAAAATTTACTCGGGTTGTGTTTAGAGTAAATGTGGAAGGGAGACAGCAGTGAACAGGAGAGTCTAGTAAACTGCTCTAATCCAGGTTAGGTGAGTGGTGGCTTAAAAAGATTGTTGGAGAGGTACCTAATATCACTAGTTTATCAATAAAGGCAAAAAGAATTATGGGTTGGCAAACCTAGGATATCCACAGGTTATATTATTTATCGGATTATTATCTGTCTTTAAAAAAAATTGGTATTTTAGGCTGGGCGTGGTGGCTCATCCCTGTAATCCAGCATTTTGGGAGGCCGAGGTGAGAGGATTGCCTGAGCCCATGGGTTAGAGACCAGCCTAGGCAACTTGGTGAGACCTTGTCTCTACAATAAATAAAAAAATTAGCCAGACGTGGTGATGCGTACCTGTAGTTCCAGCTACTTGGAAGGCTGAGGTGAAAGGATCGCCAGAGTTCAGCAGGTCGAGACTACGGTGGCCATGGTTGTGCCACTGCACTGCAGCCTGGACGACAGAGTGAGACTCCAACAAAAAAAAAAAAGAAAAAATTGGTATTTCATTAATTCTAAGAGTCATAGTTTCCCCCATTTTAGCAATATGCAATGGAGCTAAGTCTTACACTTGATGACATCTTACAATCTCTGCCAGCAATGCAGCAGGGCTGATGTATTTGTATGTGTATTCACAAATACAATCAGAGCTGTTGATTTTGTCATCACTTCAGTTGCAGTATGAGCATTGTTAGGATTTCTTTTTTTTTTTCTTTTTCTTTTTTTTTAGGATTTCTTGTGTTCATTCATTCATGATCGCTGATGTCAATCCACGTCACTCCAAATTCTGTTCCTGGTTGCCGCTGACGTGAATTTACATCTTTGCAAATTCTGTTTCTGAATGCTGCAATGCTGTCATATGTATGTGTTATTATATTGTGCTTGAAAAGAATAGTGAGGCAAGGAGAAAGTTAACTGAGATAATTATCTGATATTGAATGTGCAATGTTGTTATTTATTGATTTACATAGTTGGTAGCAATTGCAAGTTCGTCATTATTTTGTTGCGATTAGTGTTGTATACTTGTATTTTGATATTTCAGGGTTTTCATACTTTAACTAAAAATAATTTACTGTAATTATGGAAAATGAAGAAATATGTGCTGATGAGACTTCCGAGGTCGAAGGTGAATCCAGTGACCTTATTAGTGATAGTGAGACAGATAGTGATGTAATGCTGCAATGTAAACGAAGACATATATATATGGTTTATAATCTGAATAAAAATACAGAGTATGGCATGCTAGTTGGAGTGGTGTCTGAGGCAAATACTGGATATGTGTGCTCCTTTCAGCTGTATTGGGAAAAAGGTGACAATTTAGAAAAGACCATTTCACTTGTGCTTATTAACAGCCAAAGTTTGCGGCAACCAGCTTCAGATTTTTCTTATTTTTACCTCCTCTCAGTATTAAGAAAGTGAAAAATTTGCCAACCGCAAATGTGTTAACTTTAATTGCTGTTCACTGTGTCTTCAGAAATATTTTGTGAGTCAGCATTAAAACAAAGTTACTGGGTGGAGAAAGCTGTGAAAATAGTTTTAATGATACGTGATTAAACTCTATGTTTAAATATATTAATAAAAGACTGGGCATAGTGGCTCATGCCTATAATCCTAGCACTTTGGAAGACTGAAGTGGGAGGATCGCTTGAGGCCAGGAATTCAAGACCAACCTGGGCAACATAGTGAGACCCCATCTGTACAAAATTTTTAAAAAGGTAATTAGCTGGTGTGATGGTGCATGCCCATAGGCCCAGGTACTTGGAAAGCCAAGGTGGGAGAATTGCTTGAGCCCAGAGTTAAAGCTTACAGTGAGCTAGGATTGTGCCACTGCATGCCAGCCTGGCAACAGAGCGAGACCCTGTCTCTAAAAAAATAAAGGTGAAATAAATAAGTTAAGAAAAGAGAGCTCTTGCAATTAGTATTAAAAAATTCTAGGCTGGGCGTGGTGGCTCAAACCTGCAGTCCCAGCACTTTAGGAGGCCGAGGTAAGGGGATTGCCTGAGCCCATGGACTTGAGACCAATCTGGGCAACTTGGCAAGACCTCAACTCTTTAATAAATCAAAAAATTAGCCAGGCGTCGTAGTGCTTGCCTGTAGTTTTGGCTTCTTGGAAGGCTGAGGTGGAAGGATTGCCTGAGCCCAGTAGGTTGACGCTGGGGTGGTCGTGAGCGTGCCCCTGCACTCCAGCCTGGGCGATGGAGTGAGACTCTAACTCAAAAATAAATAAATAAATAAAACAAAAATAAATTAAAAATTCTAAATGACAAAGCTTTGTATCATGTCTTATTTGGACATTTCCCCCTATTTCTTTCCAGCGCATAAAACAGTGATGTGTTCTATAATCAGTGGCATCTTAGAGTTGATGAAATATGGTAACATTAAAGTGGCATTTGTGTCTAGTAACATTTGTGATTAGTTTTCTGTTTTGTTAATAACTAGGATTCTGTAGGTAATAGGTAAATATTTCTCTCCAAAGAAAACCAAAGAGAAAAATATTAAATTTCAATTAAGCAGTGTATTTTTAGTTGTTCTGAAACTACATCATGTAGTGTGAAGTGTCATGTATTGGTAGATTTTGTATTGTTTTTGTCTAGCATCTTTCCTTTGATTTGATTGATAGACAAGTGAGGACATCTGTTGGAAAAATGCTGAATTACAGGCAAGTGCTTGGGGCTTGGATGTAGGACGTTTTAAGACTTTATAGGTTATAACATCAAAGTATGAGACCCAAACCTTGGTTCTCAGTCTGTTAGCAGAGATTTCTGACTTGGTCATGGCATTTTTGGATCTTCAGTCCATATGCCTACCAAGCATTGTCTATAGGCCAACTAAATAATATATTTCAATATGTGTTCCTATTTTTAAAAAAATGCAGATAAATGCTCTTATGATTAATGAAATACAACTTTGTTTTAAAATATTATTGCAGTCTGCTAGTTTTTTGACTTTATTATTTCAGTTAACAAACTTAGTAGTACAACTGCTATCATGTTAGGATTTGCAGAAATGTTTGAGGCTAAAAGTGCTAATATTTGAGTAGGTTCTAGACTAGGGATTCTGAAATTACCACTTCTGAAGAATGCCAATAGGAATTATTGGCAGTTGAAGATGTTAAACGGAGGAGATTGGAGGAAAAAAAGAAATAGAGATATATAGAAAAAAAGTAGACAAAATAGTCAAT